CTTTTGTCTATTGAACTTTGTAGAGCTTTCTACTCTGATCATTTTGGTAAAAAATTTTTTACAAATTTGATCGATAAGTAACGGTGCTAGGGTCAAAATACCGAAAACTTCAGACTGTTCCGACCAATACTGTTAATATACTTTTGGGTATTTTGACCTTAGTACTGTTATTTATTGCCAAACTGAAAAAGATTTTTTAGCAAAATGATCAGCAAAGAAAGTTCTACAAAGTCCAATAGACAAAAGCATTTTCCGAGAACTTTATGCCTTTGTGAATGACTACCCACCCATGTGAGTGTCGAACCGCATGAAACTTTTTTGTATTTCTATAGTTCATTCTTCTCCTATGAATGACCAGTCATACTCCTAAATTCCGTTTTTGATGGGCTTTCATTTGGTATAAAATTCATTTGATATCTCTTGAAATATGAGCTAGAATAATATTATTTCCTACCCTGTAAGACCTGTGAACAGAGCATTTTGTACAAATATCGCTTTTGATTCCTTCAAGGATTTCCTTTTAATAAACCCAACCATAAGTCAGAAAAAAAATTTAAACATACATCTGGAAAGAGCATGAAATGCTGATTCTAGTAGAGTACTTTTGATTCTCTCGAGTCAGTTATAAATGATCGAAAATTGATTAAACATTTAGTGCAAAGATTTTTGCAACAAGTGTAAAAACATCATCCTAAAACAGGTTCATAATATTCTCACATGCATATCTCTCTTATTTCTTGAGCTGTCACCCTCATTTTTGCACCATAAGAACAGTTTTAAATGCTCTTTAAAATGGCTATTTACTTGTTAAAAATACTTGAGTGGTTGCAGAGATATGTCGATTGCAAACGTTCTGTGAACTTTTTGTCGATACCTTTTGTTTACAGAACAACGTCTTCTGGGATATCTAATAGGATTTTGATTATGAAAATAAAACAACAAGTCTGACTCATGTGTAGCTGAAGAAAACAAAAACTCAATCTACACTTCATAAAACAGTATGCTCTCTCGTTTCTTGAATAATGTTCGGAAAAAAAACAGATTGGAGACTCGTGGTTATCTGATAGGAATCCTATACGATTTTACCCTAGCATTTTTTCATCTGGATTGGTAAGAATCTTAACTACCATGTAAGGAACCGGTTCTGATTTTTCTTCTTTTGCATTCGAGAAAAATTAATAATTTAATAATGTATCTATGTGTTCCACATAGTCAATCAACTCATCCTACTCAACCTAGTCAACATAGTCAACCAGCTCATCCTGCTCATCCTGCTCATCCTACTCATCCTACTCAACCTACTGAATCTACTCAACATAGTTAGCCTATTCAACCTCCTCGTACGCTAGACCCGTAAGAAAAAATAAAACTTGGATACGGAACGTATCAGGATTATGACACCCCTCATTTTAAAACTTGTAATGCTTTAAAAGTTTGCTTTCAGGCTTCGTAGCATGAGAGATAAAGATAAAATTCGAACAAGAAACTTTGACCAATCGAGTTTGAGATGCCTTCAACTATCACTCAATTACGTAACTAATGAAACGCGAAGAGCACTTATGAGTTACTTCGTTTAACTGTTTATATACAGTTATCTAGACATTTGTTTAGGTTATACTTGATCGTGTGTGTGTATACAAAGTTCTCTCATCAACCGTATAATAACTAACCTAATATTAACTTGTAAAAAATATACTATAGAAAAAAGAGCTAATTTTCTATTTTTCATTGTTCAACAGATGGCTACTCTTTTACGTACAGACAGTACTAGACTTTTTATAACTTGTTGTTAATTCAGACATTTTTTTCCATTTTATCTCTCTTTTTTTAAAGCTCAATATTTTTATCTTTTGTTAAAAATCTCAACAAAACTTAATAAATCTTCGATATGATAAAGATATGTGTTTCTAGTGGGTAATATTTTTTTCATATGGATCAAAACGGAAAAGGGAAACCCTTTGTATGTTTTCTTTTTCATTTGTTTTAAACACAGAAGATTTGTTTTAGATAATCAATTACGTGCATGTAAGTATGACATATGAATAAAACGCACGTAGACCCACACAAATAATTAAAAAAACTACAGAACAATATATAAATTAACGATTAACTCATTGATCAAATTGAAAAACATCAGTTATAGCGTCTATTGTTAGGAACGTTTTATATACACCGAATATGTTGACACCTTTTCTCATTGCTATTAGTTTTTTAGCAGGTATGTATAAATAATTAGCTATCAATATATTTATTTACGCTGAATGGTCTGTCCAAATGAAACTCAACTTCCGCGTTCTTCCGTTACTTTTTTCTAAAGCTTGAACTGAGCAACATCTCATTTATAACTTAAACATTTTTTCTTTAGTTTGACAATTCGTCAAATTTTAGTACTACCATAGGAAAATTTTGCCGAAGTTCCACAACGTTTGAGTCGTGCAGTTGCAATTTCAAATACGTGGTTACGTGTGAACTTTCTATAACGTCACACGCGTCCCATCTATCCATATTCCCTGTCACTACTAGTCACGTGCGAAAAGTTTGTGAACAGTTCACGCGCTATCATAAGTGAATATATTTTTCATGCTTGTCCATACACCATTTCACATATTCACAGGTGTACACGCCGTTTTATATACTAAAATATCTCCATGGGTAGTGTGAAAAATAATCTTGATTCGTAGAAACAAGACCCTTTTGTACAAAAGTAGCCTGTTTTCAAAAACATTGTGTCTCTTAAACGAGTCACATGCTAGACTTGATTGCCATATTAAAGACAAATGTTTAAGTTTCAAAATAAGCTTTTCACAGTTCTGCAGGTTACTTGGCTGAAGTACTACTATTAGTCTAGAAAACCTAAAACACGGATGTTTCTTGACTAGTGCTTATGATGGTCCGTCGCGAAATGGCTTAGATTGGGATTATTCTAATCTATCTCATTTGTGTCACCTTCAGGTCATATTAATGAGCAGAAAAACTTACCCTTTCACTCCTTAAGAATCCACATTCTTGTGAAAATCTTCTTTAGATTGTTAATTGAAAAAGCTGACAAATTCTGGTCTCTCAGTATTTTCCCAGCACTGTATCACGTTGTAATAAAATAATTGTTAAAGAAGCATGAACAGATGCAAAAGACCCCTAAAGTTACTCTTAGTATTTTTTGAATAACTTATTGAATTGTATAAGTATTGTTGCTAAAATAGTTTAAAAACTCTAGCAGAGTGATTTGTATTTCAATTAGATTTAAAGAAAGTGTACATAAGACTTTGAAATAAACGAAACAATCAACAAACAAAGAAACACGTACATATAAATAAATATAAATATATAAGTATCATCACACGGGATAAAAACACATCAGATTAGAAATAGAGAGAAAGAGGATTGAAACTAAGGGTCAAAATATAGAGAATAGTGGAGAGCTCATCTTTAGTGCACAATGATATCCTAAGTTTATTTTATTTTGCGGACCAGTGGAAGACTAGAGACATATCATATGATTTCTACATACTACCCAAATTGATTATATTTTCAACGAACCTAATATAAGAGTACATAATATAGTTGAATTATACTGAATTATAGTTGATGGATTAATGTATGGGTCAATTTTATTGCTGTTAAGATGAAACTGGAGGATGTTCTTGTGGTCGTTCATTCTGTGACTTTATTAATTTCTGTTCTTGTTCTTGTTGTTGTTTTCGTTTTTCTAATGATTGTTCATGTCGAATGAGATCAGTTTTTTGTTCTGTCTGAAAGAGAGCTGCACGATTTTGATTTTGATGTTCATCTTTTTTAACCCAATGTCCATAGAGTAAAAATGCTGCATTATCAATAAATTTTCGATAGGCTTTAAATCGATATGGATTTTCTTGAAAGAAATGAAAAAGTAATCAATAATATATTTGATAAAAGTAGATTCACTTACCAAGTAATTCTTTGCCTCTTATTGGCTGTGGACGATAATGAAGTGTTTTTAGTCGATGAATAGACCAAACTAATATGATATGAGCTTTCAATGTTCTTTTGGCCATAAAATCTTTTCGTCTGGTTCGATCTATATTGAAAAATGGATGTTGCATCGCTTGTTCAGCTGTAAAACGTTTTTCTGGTTGTACAACTAATAAATGTCGAATTAAATCTTTAGCTGTCTCACTAACATCATCCCATTCGGGCCCGGTTGTTGTATATTGACCATCCATTATCATTCGAAACATTAAATGTTGACGTCGATGCCAAAATGGCGGTAGACCACTGAGTAATGTATACAGTATCACACCACATGCCCACATATCTATTGGTAAACCATAACCAGGCATATTTTCATATAGAGAACACTGTAATAATTCGGGTGCCATGTATCCTGGCGTGCCACAGAGATCATAAAGTTCTTGACCTTCTTTAAGTTGTACTGCAAAACCTAAATCAGTTATTTTTACGTTCATATTATTATCCATTAATATATTTTCTGGTTTTAGATCTCGATGAACAACATGATGAACATGTAAATGTAAAACAGCATTCAATATACTACTCATAATTGTACGAGTCCGTTTTTCTAAAAAACAAAAAAAATAAAATTAGTGATGTAATTATGTCTGTACTTAAAATCAAAATGTTACCAGATAATCGTACAACTTTTGTTAAATAATCAAATAATTCTCCATTTGGACATAATTCCATGACAATAAATACATAATTTCCAGTTTCAAATGTTGCCACAATATCAATGATATTTTGATGTCCACCTACTAATCGTAATATTGTAATTTCACGCATTGTTGCCTCACGTATATCTTGACTATCATCATTAAATTCAATTATTTTGCACGCATATTCTTTTCCCGTACTTTTTTCGACACATTTTCGTACAACAGATGATAAACCTTTCCCTAAAACTTCTTTAGGTTCAAATTTTTGATAAAATCCTTTAGCTGTTTCACGATCCGGTAATTCATCAAATTCATCAAAGGCCATTTTTATTATAATTATAGATATAGACAGTACTAAAAAAGAAAATATAAAAATGTAATCATCAAATACTTGCTCTAGATGAACAGAATTCTTCTATTTCTTTATACCTGTATGATCTATTCATTTATCCCGGTTTTTCTTGATAAATTCAGATGGTCAAACATTTTTACTGTCTATAATTAACAAAATATTTTCATATTGAAAAGACTGTTGCTATGCTTAGCTATTTCAAAGTTTGACAAATGTTATTATTGAGCGAAGATGTACTTGTCTAAACAACTGCTTGTTTATGACACAAAATTAAAAAGAATAATCTTGATAGCACAGACCCGTTTTGCATATAAACAAATGTAAGAACTTTTTACAGATATAGCACAGTCTAGTTCAAATTTATCAATCGTTAAAATAATCGAGATAAAATAATTGATTATTTAACAAGTTAACTTATTTTATTTTCAAATAAACAATATTCCATAGCAAATAACAAAAATTAAAACGGATAAAATTCGTGCCTAATCTCGTTATTTTTGTTCATTTTCATCCTCACTCCCTTCTTCTTCACTATCAAATGAATTTTCTGGTATACTGTAGATACGTAATGTTGTCTAAACACAAAAGAAATAAGAATATGAAAAGATTAATTGAGTAAATATTTTCTGATACCATTATACTACTTACTTTAATTGGATCTTTTGTAATTAAATATCGTCCATCAGGTTTATTCATAAAAAAGTCTACCAATGCTCGAACAATTCCCCATCCATTATCAATATTCAATGCCATTTGTGTCGCAAATTCTGTCGGTTTAAAATGTTGCATACCCAATATAGAATGTTTTGAAGCATCTTTAAAATTTTGACGTGATACGTAACTTAAAAAAAGAAATATAAATGTATAAACATTTTTTCATTTTAATGAGTAAACACATGTACCCAAATTTAATTTGATCAGTGCCAGCTAATATTGCACACGTTGTCCATTTTGCTAATTTAAATCCATTGTTTCGTAGTTCAGCTGCTAAAACGGCTCCACGTTGTAAGTCTAATTTTGTTCGCCAATCAAGACCACTACCAATCTAAAGGATAAAGCAAAAAACGATCATTATAGTACAATAGTATTCAAGTAAAATGTTAAATTTATACTTTTGGATTCCATTCATTTAATGCTTTAACATTAATAAATTGTTCTTCTCCGTTGGGTCCAATTTGAACGGCATCTTGTTCACATCTGATAACAATAACACAATTATTTCCTAAATCCCATGCACGATAACGATAAGCTACAGAAGCTGCTTCACTTTCTTCATCTAGTTGAATAAATGGATTTGGATCTGGAAATTTATATCGTTCTTCATTCTAAAAATAAATTGTAAACGAACGAATTTGTGTATAAATATTGAGTGTTTATTAACTAACCATTTTTAAAACTTGTTGAGAAAAATTATGATTAATAAATATAGCTTCCATGGCAAGATTTTTAGCTGAATCCATTGTGCCATCTTCTGGTGGTGGTTCATTTGCTGTTTCATTCACCGTTACCATATCTAAATTACATAAATGAAAATTAATTAAAATATTTCTGATTATTATTAACAAATTACTTACCTATTGTTGAATCTTCTCGTTTATCAAAAAATAATCTTGTACCAAGTTTCTACAATGAAATAATACCGCAGAAATAAATCTAAATGATGAAAAAAAACTCAAACATACATCTACAACAATATCCCATGGATAAACAGATCTCGTACAACACATTAAAGTTGATATAATAGCATCTGTAGCAAAAACATTTCCACGTGTTTTACATATCTAAATTATTGAAATATATAATGAATAATTCTAGATAAATGATAATAGATAAACAGATTACTTGTCGAATAATTGGATCTTTTGTTGTTGTTATTTTATGATATAAACGATTAACCATTACTAATTTTTTTTCACTTTTTGTATTTATACGATCATATGTTTTATCAAAATATTCGAGTGATCCACATACACGTCTAAAAATATTAGAAAATTATTAGAAAATCTTACTCTATCATTTTTATATTATGTACATTTCTTCTGGTTCACCCACTGTTGGCAAACTTAATTTTGATAAACTACTAAATGATATTTCTTCAATAACTTGCCAATTTTCTCGAACACGAACAGATGGTTCACGTTGTTTTGTTTGTTGCTAAAAATGAAATGATAAATAATAAAAAAAGAAATAATCTTTAAACTTTTTCTATTCTTATTGCTGTTTCAAACGTTTTACATGTTGACGAGGATCGGTACGATTTCCATATTGTTTCTGCCATTTTCGTAACTGACGCATTTGGTCCCTTAAGATAAAAATTATTTTCCATTTTTTAAATTGAGAAAGTATAAAAATAATAATTTTACATTTCAAGATTTTTCATTGTTTTTGATTTTTTTTGTGTACCAGAAAAGGCATTTTGCATCGGTTGAAAACGTTGATTTTGTTGCTGTTGTCGAAAACGCTAAACATAATATTATTTAAAGTTAAAATCATCATAATAGAAAATACTATCAAATCAATTCAATAGTACATTTTGTTGAAAACGTGTTTTTTTCTGATATGCTGGTCGTGGTAATCGAGTCGAATCAACAAGCTGAAAAGTATTTTCATCGTCCTCATGAACATACTGATATACACCAGCACCGACACCAAACTGAGATCGATATCGATCTAAACGACGTGTAACATAACAATTTGTTAGATCTCTGTATTAAATAGAGTATGAAATGCACACTTACTGTAATTACGTTTATCTCCGTATACTGTTCCAGTCCAATCTGCTACCTAAGAACAAAAATCAATAAAAAAAGATAACAAAAAAGTTTAGATTTGAAAAGAAAAACGACAGTTGATCTTGACCAACTTCTTCGTTTCGTTTCATAGAATAATAGGAAAGGTCGCACATAAACTATTTATATTACAACACTAGTTGACAAGATTTATTTTAATTTGTTTATGCGTGCATTCTTCAGCACGAGAATGTTCGTTCTCATTTTTGACAATCGTTACCTTTCCTAATGTATCGCTTTTTGAATAAGGTTGGTATGGCATATCTTTATACTGAAATGTATCCTCTGTGGGTCCCCAACCATCTTTATTATCGACGACAACAGGGGCTTGAAAATGAACTCCTGGCATTTTTATGTTTGATAATAAATTTTTTTGATGTAATCTAAAATTTTAAGACTTGTCAACTCTGTTAAAATCTGAAAGTTTCAAAAACAAAATGTGTACCTAATTAAACAAACAGTATTTATTAGATGAATGAACGCCAATCGGAATAATGGTGATAGACAGAAATAATGCGAAGAAAAGTAAGCGAATAGTGACTCTGACAAAAAACAACAACTTTGGAAGGGGTCATTTAGCCTTTTCTTCATCATATATCTAACACTAGGTATCCAATTCAATACTTAATAATAGAACCTTACCCAATGATTTTACTACGCAATTACATCTATCAAAATCAAAATAGTAGTACCGTCACATCATAAATAAACAATGAATTGAATGAAATTTTCGTAAATAAACGGTGATTCAGCGACTCAGGTAGTTCACTATCAGCGTCTATTTTAGGATCAAAATCATTACACAGAATATTTACCAGACTCAATGATATACTCAAACAACTTCCACTAAGATTTCAGTAATTTGTCCGAGATTGATTCAGAAATAACAAAAATCTTTTTCTACTACAGAATCAAAGTAATTATACGTGATATTTTTTCGTATTTCTAGACTTTATCTTTTTACTTTATTTAAATTTTATTTTACAGATCTATGAACTGATATTCATTTAATGAGTTTTATTGAAATTTTTAAATTAGACATTTTATTATTGAAATATTTGCTAATAATAAAAACTAACTACAGATAAATAACAGAAAAATTAAAATTAAGAATACGGTACAGAAAAGAGAAGAGAAAAATTTTAAGTAAAATCAATTTTAATAATCAAAGATGTGTTTTTACCTCTTTCTAACCGGTCAAAATATATAACAATCTTATTTTCTTCAATATCAATCATTTTGGCAAGTTTTTATCTTAATTCACCAGTAGAATTACAGTGCTTTCTTAAACATTATCAACATATTCACACACACACACATTTACACACAAAAGTACAACACATGAATACACTTGCGATTGTGTCTTCGTACATAATTATTTTTTAAGTCTGCAAGCACATGTAATGTCTTAAACCAAAGATTAAATAGAAGCGTAACGTACAAATAAGAAGTTTAGTACAACTGTGGTTGAAATACCCTTAACTTTCTTTAACATAATTAAGAATTCTTTAAAAATTTTAATTATTGGGTTATCTACAATACAGCACAAATGTTTACTTCGAACTATCATTACAAAAATTAATCGAAATCTACGAAATGTAAGAACAAAAAACGAACGAATTATGTAATGTCCTGTTCGTTTCAGTACGACTATACCAATTGTCTTTTCTTTCGCTGCTGACTGAGATGGACTATACGTAATTTCGTAATTTCGTAAAGGAACGAAAGAAAATTACGTACTTCTTTCGTTATAGTTGTCAGAGAATTTCTGTCCTTCTTTCATTTCTGACGTACCTTTTTCGGCTCATCGCTAGTAATATGATATTATTGTAATGTGAAAGACTTTTCTATTAATTATCCGGTTGACTTTTGAGAGCAAACTCGCTTCGTTCTGTTCTCTAATTCATTTTTTGGTAGAAAATCAATAACAATTAGAATAATTTCTTTCGATATCTTATTCGTATGTTTTTATCAAATTCAGTGGTGTACTTTGAAAACTTAATAATAGTGTCAATGAGGGCAACTTGTATCTAAGAAATGGTGTTGTGTCTATTAAACAAAGCTTCAGATATTTTTCCCTCACACTTGAAGACCTTTCAGTGAAGGGATTCAAGATCACTCGGTACTCTTCCGATTACGCTCTTACACCATGTATAGTCTAATATTTCTATATGACTCATGCGATACTGAACGGATTTATAAAATTATTCAGTCTCTATTAGAAAGAAGAGTTAAGTTTACAGCACTATTTCAGTACGGAAAAACTGCCGTATGTCAATAATATATAAATATGTAGCAAATACTTTAAGATATAATAAATAAAATCTGAGAGAATATTCATTTTTTTATTGAAAGAAAATCTAACAAACTTTGTTTACAAACCAAAAATAACAGAACCGCAAGAGCTCAAATAAATTTTTATTGTCTCCAATATGTTGTGAGAAAAGCGTTTCATAAAAAAATAAGTTGTTAAATAAATTTGCACAACTAAGCAGGAGAAAAATGTATGAAAAAGTTTCAAAAAACCCGATTGTCTACAACACACTTCATTGTTAGTAAATAGAAAAAAAAGTCAGCATTTTAAATAGAGTATGAACAAACAAATAATAGTAATAACATTGTTTAGGTAAAAGAAGTAGGTCGTAACGTCGACTGGAATGATATACACGTAGCGCAAACAGCATCTTACAAGTTATTCTACTGTTCACACGAATATTTACAGAAAGAAACACAAATCTAATCTAAAGATCGTTTGAGAGAAATAATGAAATGTAAATATTATCAGTAAAATATTTAAATTCCATCGAGACGTGGTAGATAAATGTTAAGCTATTGCAAAATGCAGGAATGAGAGGTGAATAAGTCAGTAGTGGATAGAGATTGACAATTGCAAGCAAAATCTATATACAAAATAGCATTAAAATAATTTTCGTGCTTAATTGACATTGATACCAATTTTCTGTAATGCTTGTTTTTCCATTAAATTTAAATGTAAGCGAAAAAAAGCAAACCACGGATGTAGTGCATAATGTCGAATACGTTCTTTTAAATATTCTAACAAATCAATTTGCATTATTGGTGATAAAAGTGCATCAGGATCTTTTTCATTAAAAAATTCCATATCAAATACGTCATCAAGTAAATTATCATAGCGATTTAAATATTTTGTTATTTCATCTTCTTTACTTAGAGATGCTGTTTCATCTTCATTTAACGATGATTTCATTTTAGCATTGCTTCCATTCATTGTTTCTTTTCCCTCATCTTCACCACCGTTACTATTTTCTTCACCACCATCATCACTATCATCTTCAAGATCACTATCATCACTAAAAACAATAAGAATATAAAATTTAACGTAGAAAATATTTTGAAATGACTACTCACTTATAATCCGCTTCATCTTTCAATTCTTTTCGGGTATTTATTTGATTTTGTAATTCTAATACAAGAATTTTGAATAATTTTACAACTAATGGTACACTTGTCCATTGTTCTGGCATTTTTGTTGTTTTTGAACGTGTACGAAAACTTGGACCACCTTGATGATTTGATAATGATGACTGATAAATAACTTGATCGCCAGGAACAACCAAAGTCTGGAAACGTACATCATTATTAGTCATGGCATGTTCTAGTAGACAGGATAATGCGATTATGCTAAATGATACAAAAAATGATGCAAAACAAAATTATTACAGAAAAATCAACTTTTATATACCTGACTTTTATATCGTACGGACCATAAAATAAATGTTGTTTCATTGTCCATTCTTGCATAACAAAATCAAATGCACTTCCGCCATTCGGTCCAGGCATTGATGTTAAAAAATTAATAACATCGTCAATATTACTGTGAATTAAATGTGCAAAAACGACAATTAAACTTTGTTGTACGGTTAAAATTGAACTTCCTTATCAATAGAAGAAAAAATAAATAAAATAAATTTAAATATTACATTTATCTCTTTTCTTTTCTTTTATGCATACCTTGTAGTTTTGCTAAAACAGCTTTTAATATTTGTACCAACGTATCACCCAATGATAATTGATTATTTCCAATAACACGTATGAATGATCTTATCAATTTTCCCACAAATGTACAACAGTTTTCCGACATTTTTGGGTTTAAAAATTTTGCTAATATTTGTAGAATATACACTGTACTGTTAGGATGTTCAAGAACTTCTTTAGATGCACAAGATAAAAATGCACATAAACATTCACCACCATTAAGTAAAATTTGTTGATCATCACTTGTTAATAATAAATGTAAAACAATTGGAAATGTTTTTTCCATTAGTAGACGATTAATGGGTGGATCCATTGAACGTAATACAGTCGTTAACAGATCCAGTACAGCAGGTGGTAAATTTGTTGCTATTTTTTGTTGTTTCTGTTGTTCTTCAGTATAACATATTGATTCAACCACAGGTATTAAACGTTCTTGTATTAAATTTGTGACAAGATTATTATGTACAAGTCCCTTAATAATTGCTGTTGTTTCACTATTAATTAATGGATCATTAACATAACGCACAAACATTTCGATGGCTAAAGTTGATAAACGATCTTCAACTGATGCTACAAATGGTTCGTCAACGCTAATCAAAATAGCTAATGATTCCAGTGGCCATATGTATGTAGATTGTGGTATTCGACTAAGTGTTAATAGTATACCATCAAATATAGATGGAAGGTATTTCAAAATATCAGTTGTTTGTTCAATACCTAATTCTTCACAATAACTAAATAGAAAAAAAACAAAATATCTATGAATTATTTGAACAGAAAAAAAATTAAGATTCTAAAAATATTTGTTTTACACAAACATTTTCTCTAATAGAGTATTTCTCATTTCAATTTCCATGCCCTCCATGATCTGATCGAATCCATGCAGCATGTACTGTTCGCGTATGTACATACTAGTAAAATGCTCTTAGTGACGACAAACTGATGATTGGATGTTGAGCATGCATTAACAAATGACATATTCCATCTAAAAATCTAAACAAAAATATATACGATAAGTTGGTTCAAGTAGACTCATATTATTTTGTTTTACGTACGCTGTGTTTATTTCAGCACTCATTGAACGTGAAAAACGGCCAGCAAATAATGCAGCTTGACAAACTAAGTAGGGATATTCTAGAAAAACAAAAACATTATTTTTACTAAACACCAGTCAGCTATACGTACCGAATTGGTTTAAATCAGCTAATGGTACCTTCAAAGAAGGATGTTTGCAAAGATGTTGCTTGATGGATTTAAAGTTTCAACGTACTTGCTTAACAAATGCGTCGAGATCAATTTGTACAAAACCTGCCAAGAGCATATCGGTCAATAATTGTTTACACCGTCCCATTGCCAACAGACAAGCTTCATGTAATTTCCACCTAGAAAACAAATTCAACGTGAGAGAATATTTTGATACGGTGAATACTCCCACTTTACCATCGAGGTGATTGATTTGATTTTAATGTTTCAGCATGTGATAAATGCCGATGAACACTTTTCCAAAGACCAACACCCGCCTCTCTCTTAAACTCACTTGTGATGGACTAAATAAAATAAGCAAAAAAAACGTAATTTACAATAGAAAAATTTATACCATATTCCATCTTTGAATAAACTATACGATAAGACACTTACCAACAACAGTTCTAATGCCGATAAACGAACAGAATGTGAAAATGAGTCATCGCTTTCATCTTCAACATAACGGGAAACATTTTTTGACCAAGAATCGTACTAGAAAAGAAAAATTAACTTTGAATTTCCATCTGACATAGAGCTATGATTAAAATGACCTCTTCTTCTGTAATTTGCATACACAAAATCAAATAATAACATAATTCCTCCATAGATGTTTTCACTGAGTTTTTGTATATTGGTAAATCCATGAGTACTTGGACAAATTCAAATAAACTATATATCAAACATTCAAAACTCAATGTTTCTCCTGAAAACAACAACACTATTGCTCAATCTGAATCATTTTTAATCTTAAATTACCGTCTGAATCCACTGCTGCGTCCATATCACCATGTTTATAGATGACTGTAGCAACATAATTCTCTGTATTCTGTGTGAGACAATTCCAAACTGATTGTAAAATCGTAGATGCCTCTTGTTGCATTAATTTTGGAAATGATTTGAATAAGAGAGTGAACGCACGTATAATTTCAATTCGAAAACCAGTATCACAAGCATGAGAATCAGATGTGACAAGGAATTTTTTCAATGCGTCACAATAAGGTGATAAAAATGGTACAATATAAGTGAGACACGTCTGTTTCTCGTAAGTAGCAATATCGTGTACTAATGATATACAAAGTGTAAATATTGAAACACAACGTGTTCGAATACGAATATTAAATTGTTCATGACTAATAATAAGTCGATACATTTCGGGTAATAACAATGGTATAAATACTTGTATTTGTTTATCATCTAAAATGAACGTATAAATTTAGCAATTTAAGAGGAGAGCCTGTAATGATTCATACCTAAATCACGTACAATTTCTGTTAACACACGCACTGTTCCATGTACCAACGATTTATTTTGACTTTTCAGAGAATTAATCAAATATGGAAGTAATTCTGGCCATGCTTCAGGACAATCCCATTCGGCAACAGCTGATATTACACATGCTAATCCAACACGTAAACGATGATTTGGCTCTTGTAAACCAGATGGTAATATTTTGCGTATCTGACATTTGATCTAAATAAAGAATCGATAACTATCTTCTTCTTTAGCATTGACTGAAATCTTACCTCTTCGGGTACTTCAGGTTCAATAAAATTTTCAATATTTCTTGTCCAATGTTTACCTGGAAATAGAAAACAATGAACATTAAAAATTTCGCGAGAAACAATGATAATACAGAGAGACTTACTGATATATTTTCTTAAGAGAACACCAGCCAGTTGTCTAATACTAATTGGAATTTTATTGTCGACACTGATTTCAGTCAAAACTAATGTATATGTTTCTAATAATTCTAACGAGGCCAGTTGTTGCTGACCTTTATTTATCAGTTGTTGATCAGGTGTAATGATCATTGACAGCGTTTGTCCAATTAAATTATGGAGATCAGATGTCGGCTGCATTATTTTTTTATTCTACAAAAAAGTAAAGTTTCATGTACGCAATATTTCTAACAATGTCTGGTTAAAGTAATTAACTTCATCTCCTCTACAATATGTTATATTAAAAATTATACAACAATATGTTATTTATTAAAACAGAAAAAAACATATTGTGTATTAATACCATCAATAGGGTAACAAAAGTAAACTATGGTAAAACCCTTATCAGACTTTCTTTTTGCTGCTTACACATGTATGATTTACTTATTAAAACGAAAGAAAAAGAGAAGTCGTCAACTTACAGGATCATGTTCGCCGTTTTATATTTTTATTCCGAGTACCTATTCTACTAATGATTTTAGGAAGCAACAGCGATGTATCTAGTGGTAGGAAAAGCAACTAGAATTGAACTCTTCTGCTTTTCTTACTACTAGATACATCGCTAACAAGCTAATTAGCATACACACTGAAATAATAAAACTATTTTGTATACGTTCTTTTCTTAGGCTGTTCCAAACGTAAAATACGTGATACACAGTATTAAAAAGAATTTTGTTCATTATTCAACGGTGCATTGCCACCTAAAATGATTAGTAGAATAGGTACTCGGAATAAAAATATAAAACGGCGAACATGATCCTGTAAGTTGACGACTTCTCTTTTTCTTTCGTTTCAATACGTAAACCATATTCATGTGTGTGTATTTTAGATTAAAGATAGAAAAATACCACAAAGATCCGGTATTAAAGCGAGCAAGGCCTAAAAACACTCAACTCATTTTTAAAATACTTTATTTCAAGTATGACTGCAATATCCTGTCCGATCATCATTTACTGAAATAGACAGTCGCAATACTTCATTGACATTTATGGTATTGAGTATCATTTTTATAAAGCTGGGTCATGAAAGTATGATTAAGACGTATTAGCTATAACTTATATCGAATAACTTTTAAATAGGTTTACTGAGCCGAATCCTCGTCAACTTAGCAGAATCTTTGTGACAGATATTTAACTCCAAATAAGTAAAGATGGAACATAAGAGCAGCCGCTACAAAGAGCACGAAACGCTCATCCCATCCTTTCGATATTTCGGGTGCCAGAATTGCCCGGGATTTAGATTGGTTCGAATACAAAGGGATCATGAAGCAACCGTTCAGTATTTTTAGAAAACTAATTCTAGTAACACTCCATCACTACTGTATACGGACAAACTGTTCAATATTTAAAATGTTTAAAAATATTTTATACATAAAACATTTTCACGAATAACCTTTGAAATCGAGAACGAGACTAATTTGATATTAGTTTAAAGAAAAACATACTGATTTCGATCTCACATGGATATTGAAAATCCCAAATAGTTGAATAAAGAATATGCAAAAAATACCCGTGAAACAATTTCAGAACTAAAACAAACATAGAAAGAGAGGTACTTGTACAGAATAATCGCCAATTTCTTGCGCATTTATTCAAAAAAAAATGAATGTATGAATACAGCTGTCTAGTAAAGATCAGAATTTCTAGACTAGCCATGATAATACTTTCACCGTTTATATTATCATGTCCGAAATCAAAATTCTACAGCAGAAAGTATATTAGACACAAAGGGATTCAGTTAGCTCGGTCGTTTTATTCTATTACTATTCCCTTGATTATAGTTTCGTCTGACATAGGGTATTGAAACGTCAGACCACAGGCCATATTACAAAATGGTTGTCTTTCTATGCGCAAGCAAAATACGGAAAAATGGCTGTCAACTATTCCACGGATACGCCAATCACAAGAGAGAAAAATAGAACATTATTTTTTTTACACGCGAGAGAAAGTATTCAAAGGGATGACTGAAGTAATATTACTGACGCAGAGAGAAAAAAAACTAAGCAAACTGTTTTTGTAGTTGGGTATAGATGTCGCCGAAAAGCAGTCCATTTCGATAACATTAACAAAAAAGTCATCCACGGATAATAAAAGTTACACAATATAGATAATCTAGAATGGCGAATCCATCAGAGATACTTGTACTTTGGATCTTCAGAAGACGTCCAGAAAACCTTTTAGCTTTATATTACATTGTGCACTTTTCCGTGGAATGAAAGGTTCACAACATTTCGCACTTTTTTTCGGTCGGCCTCGACTGAAGGGAGGCGTGAGGACTGATTTCAATTCAAAAACCTTTTTAGACCTCTGGGGATTTTTGGAGGATCTCGTAGAAACCTTTTAGCTTTACATTATACTAGGAAGCTTACACAACAAGTCAAAGGAAAATTCATGATATATTTCCGATAGTCCTCTAGTGAACAACGACCGAAGGGAGGTGTGAACTTTATCTTGGATTCAAAGTCATGAAAGATCATTCGCGGATATAAATTCCTAAAGTCAAGGGACCGAATAAGTACAGACGAGCGTTAGCTTGTGCGTAATATAAGAGAACACAATAAAGAAATTCTCTTGCGTTCACAAAAATTACTGATGTTACCCACCAATAAAAATCCCGTTATGTGCCTCAACCATAATACAGTTATAAAATTTGATCTATTGATTTGAACAACGAACGATACTCTCATATCTTCCCCTAATTAATTACGCTTTACATACGTAAAATTTAAATAAAAATTAATTTTTTGTAAGTTTCCACCCGGAATTTGAGCCAATCAGGCTAAAGAATAAGTTAGACGCAAGCTTGCGTCTAGCTTTTCCGTCTAACTTATCTTAACGGACATACAGACAACCATTTTGTAAGATCTCAGACAAAAGTCAAGGGAAAAACCCTAGGCTAAAGTCATAGTGTGTGGCCTGACCATTGATGACTCATACAATGGCAACAAAAGCAAATAGAGGTCATCTCTTTTTGAATGTGTGGGAGTCAGATTAATTTTTTTGATGAAAATTTATAATATAATCCAAAATTATAATATAATCCCTTTGAGGTGATCAAAGTTTTCGGACAATTAGTCCTTAATGAGAAAAGACCCTGATGGCGCTACTGTATGCCCTAGTACACTTTCCCTGGAAGAATCACCGGTGAGTTGAAAAAAGTGCAGAAAAAAGTTCCCGAAAAAAATCCCTCGTGAGTCACCAAAAAATCTCTGATGAGTTCCTAAAAATTGTGAAATCCCGAGGAAGTCACGGGTGACACCCTGTGAAATCCCTATGTGCCTGATTTTCAGGGACTGGGGAAAAATGGAGTGCCTGGTGAAGTCCCTGTTAAAAAAACGAACACATGGGAAGTATATATATATATATGCCGATGTATGTATGCATCAAGAATACAATCAGAGAAACCGAAATTATACAAAATAAAATAAATTTCTCTCTTCCCTCGAGAATTTCTTTTATTTCCTTTTACAGGAATTTCTCTAATAATCAAACGAAGGAGTTAATACTCCACAATTAAAATTAAATTTGGACTACCAAATAAAAGATGTAGTTGAATAAGAACAAAATTTAATAAAAGTATTATTAAGAGAACATGTTGTTGAGCTCGATGTACAGTGTCGCGAAAAACTGACCGTGTAGCACGTTAACTTTTTGGTTTCGCATGCCATTTTTTATTTTTATTTTACGTATTCGCTATGGTTTTTTGTCTATATGATTCAGTTTAATTGCAAAACTTCGTTTTGTCAAGTTTTATTAAAAAAATAAGCGAGTGCACCGTTTTTTTATGGCCGAAAAATTGTCCATACAGCATAAAAAATGACAGAATAAAGGCTGGACTTTGGTCTTAAAGTGGGAATTTCGGAAGGAAAAGTCTCTCTTAGCTCTTCCTCACTTTCATGAACGCTGAAAAGTTAAAGAAATTATTTCATCATATCTATCTGAAAGATTTTGGTAAATGGCGCCTAGACGAAAAGAGTATTCTCGTAATATCAGATGATAAGGCGATGAAATATTTTTTGCAAATACTTGTGACATGACTTAAGCTGTGAGGATCAAGGCACATCGAAATATATACTTTGGATGGTATTTGAACACATTCGAACTTGCTAAGTTTGAAAAAAGACGAAATACCGATCCCCACTCCTCCAATGTTTGTTAAAATCGCCAAATGCATAAACTGACGCCAAACCAGTAAAATTATTTGTGAAACTGAATCTGTCGTTGTAGTAGTGTATAGAGAAAAATACGTATATCTCTTTCAGGGATTTTCAAAGAACGGAAAGGAATCATTTCCTTTTCGACGTTTTCCACCGAGACCACAAAAGCACATAATATGGTCAAAATTTACTTTTCAATATAGCTGTGTCTCATCGATGCTCCGTCTGAAGTTACCTAGAAATCCAAGTTTTAAGATCTTAGTAACATTTGGTTGATCCGTTATGAATCTTTTAAAAAAGGTGCACAATTTTTTCTTGAAAAAATCGCATATTCTCTTATTTTGACTTTTGTGCGACTCAACGGTCTTTGTTCTAAATCAATTATATGTCAGTCGAACGAGCGGATAAATCTGAACAAAATGTGCTACGTTTTAGCTCTTAGAACTCAAAAATTAAAGTGGAAAATTGAAATAAATCAAATTTTTCATCTACAAGGAGCACAAAGGAGTCAAATCTAGAAATACTAAAACATTTCTTGCGGCATTTTGTAGAACAGACAATTCTCTAAAAAATCCATTATTTTACATCGAAAAGCAATCTCTGCCAAGTTTCTGAAATTGAACTACACTAATGAGGAATAAGTGAAAATTGTCTAATAAATTTAACTGTTCCTCATCACAACGCTGTTTTCGGTCAAAATAAACCATATATTCGTGATCAGTATAAACAACTGAGTAGGAAAACTGTTTTTTGAGACGAAAACAGTTCCTTGAAATGCTTTGTCTGCACTCCCCCGGGGAAAACCTTTTCTTTTCTTTTTCGACCAAAATCTTAAAATCCTGAAAAACCCTTAAAAATGTCAACATTTTTTGGTTTTGAAAATTCCTTTGCAGTTTTTTTCCAGCTAGGTTTAGTGATTTGAACTTATCAAACTGAGTCTAGCCAAGTTATTTTCAATCTGTCAACCTTGATGCAAAACTTCGGCAAGGCTCAGAGTATATGATGGTAGAAAATGCAGACCTTCTGTTAGAAATTGAACTCTGTGTTTCAGGTTAAAGACTAGATTTCTGGTTCATACATCATTCGATAGCCTAGACAACGAGCTACAAAGTTGAAAAAAATCATTTTTCTTCGATGAAGAAAACGGCTTTTTACTCGGAAAAATCAAAACTCTGACCCTAAGTCTCAATTTTCTTCATCAGAACTCAACTTTCACACAATGAAAATATCATATTCGGAATCAGCGTCAAAAATCGAGTCGAATGATATACTAT